TTATAGTCGATGATCAACAGAGTTACAGGTGGCAAACGTGATCCCTCGGCATCTTTTTTCGTTATCACAACCGCAGCCACCTCCAAAGGGAACTTTCCACCTATACTACTATAGAAATAATAACATCGCTGCCTCAGTTCAACATTACGACGATTTACTTTACGTTCACCTTTTGACCAATCGCTGTTGGACAAAAAGGGGCTGAGATTTCTAAATGCTTTATTTTCCTCTTCTTTAAATTTAAGTGAATGCAACAGTGGATACGTAGAGAAATGATGTGACCTCGTGTTCCTTTCAGAATCGACTTCTTCATCGTGACATACGTCGCAGCATTTCTTCTAGATGTCACAACACTCATACTGAATATTTTCATCCTCTTCTTATTCAAAAAGTGAGCGACTACAAATTCCATTGTTACAATAACTAATAATGCTTACACTGCAGTTTATGTAAGAAATTCAAGGCTCAACAAGGCCAGCAAACCGCTTCGGATCGTGGTCTTCTTAACGGCGACTGACTTTCTGCATGCAGTAGCAGGTACGTTAATACAAACATCCATGCGTGGATAAAGGGATGTGCCATGAATTCGACTTCATAAAGCATAGTTTGGAGGTGATTGGACGCATATCTGGCCTTCGCAATGATTCGCGGTGGCCTACCGATCTATCGTACCAGTGCTACTGTCCTTCCAGAAAAGTCTGGTAGCAATTTACCGACTCGGAGGGATGGAAGGCCTGATGGGCCATAGGGACGGGGATGATTCCACGTGTGTGTTGCAACGCGCCTCCTACCACTGCGTCACACGCGCCATCACCTAGCATCCCTGAGAATTTTATTTCACAATAAGTAGATTTTCATTTGTCAAATTATGAAAAAAAAATAGAGAAATTGATGGGTGAGAGTGTGTACCATGAAGTATGTACTCCGTGACTATGCACATATTGTAGTGTACACTTTTTTTTATACCACCTAGCAGAATTTTGAAGCGTTATACCTCCCCCTCAAGGTCACTGCTCGATCGAAGCTAGTGGTGAGAAAAAAGAGTTCGGTAAGACGAAGTATTGAACCTGTAGCGTTGAGTGCGACCGTCATTGGAATCAATCAAGTTTTTCTTCAGCGCAATTTGTGTCATTTGTGTTTCGTGTCACGATAACTCATTACCTCTACAGGATAATCTAATTTGCTTCATTCATTCATTATTAATCTGCAAATGTCACTTTTCTTGGCACTTGAGGCAAATTGTGAAATTAAGGCGATATTTGAGAGTATGGAAAAAGTCGACACATTCAGCGGAACTCGTTCAATACTGCTTCATTTCAAATATGTGCAAGACAAGTCCTGCAGCGTGTACTGAACAGAATGAAAGGAATGGGAGTGAAATGTAGACGAAAAGGAGCTCCATGCCGCGATTTCACGTTTCTATCACTTTTGAATCTCAGAATTACTCAGATTGGACAATCCTATTGCATTTCTTGATTGAATGCAAGGATTCATTCAAGAATGCAATTGCATTTATTCTTTTTCGATGTGAAAGGAAAGTCAGTCTTTTTCTAGAAGTACAAATCGACGATATTGAGAAAAATTGTCGACGTTTCTCGAATGGAGAAAAAGCAGAAGTGTAGCGCTAATGGCGCTATATTCATATAGCACGTGTTGCATTCTACGTTTCAGTGTCTCCCTACATCGTGTACTTGCTAGTGAAGTGGGATCGGACAATGATAAACTTGGATCCATATATTGTAATGATGTCGAGTATTCCACTGATAATTCAACTAAAAATCAATGTCACACTGACGGGGGCCATAGCGCTGGACAGAGCATTGGTATGTGTGCATGATCACTATGTAATGTAATTGTCATGGATCATCCTTAGTTGTACGAACCTCAAGACTTGTTCTATTTTTTTCTTCTCGTTTCTTTGTCTTCCCATCACCGTCCTTGGAGTAGCGCAGTCCATGTGTGCGTTCTTCTGCAGGTTGAAAAGATGCAATTTTGTAAGAGATTCACATGTTGAATGCTGGTTGGGTGTGGTTCCACGCGTGTCTTCAGGCAGCAGTGTTGAGGTGTTCACATGTCTCCGGTCTTTATTAATTGAAGGGAATTTTGTTGGCGTTCGATTCTAGTTGTACCAACACAGCAGCGATTCTAGTGAAGGCAACGATTTCCAAGATTAATCTACTGACCTATTGATGGCAGTGTAACAAACCAAATACCCTTACTTTTCTTTGACACTACTCGAATAGTTCGTGCCACCAAAATACGCTAAGGAATACTGCTTGTTACCATTTAAAATAGTGTCCACATTTACTGAGGATTTTTAACCGAGTTTCTTGTTTCGTTTTTTGGGGTACCTCCTCCACTTGATCAGATATATTCGATAAGTTGTGTGGATGTTCCTGCGCTCGATAGCGTTTCCCAGTGGCGAATATTGGATAGAACGAATCCGTCCAATGCCAACAAGAGTCAGAAGGCATGGTTACGAAGATTGAGCTGGGACGACTTCATCGACTTCACTTTGCTGGCAACCTACAAATAAGCAGTACTGTTTGTCAGTTCCACCCATTGGTTTGTAGCTGGAGAGTGTTTTTGAGTGTCGAATCGCGAATACAGCGTGAGTTCGCCACTCAATAGGATTTTCTAAGCCGAGGAGAAACTCGGTTCTTCCATTTAGAACCCCAGATGATAGGAGTTGGCCAATACTAGAAATCACTGCGCTCCTGGGGTCAAATTACTCATCACATGGTGGGAAACATTCTTTTCATTCTCAATTGCCGACGACTGCCAATGATGACGACTTGGGGAAAACCACTAAATCCTATCTCCATATTGCTCAGATCAAGGTAGGCTTACCCGAAAACTAAGAGCTGCTTATCTAAAGGCTTAGAAATTGTGCCAAACTCGTCTCCAGACAAGAAACTTAGATCGCACCTCTATCACCTCCAAAGCTTAACCGAAAGGGGAAGGAAGATCCCAGCTGTAGGAGATCTTTTCAGAAGGATTTACGTTAGCATAGGTAGAATGAATTATTAGAAGTACCTCATAAACGATCTGGTTTAAAGAATCCTGTCAGAACCTCCGCGACTACTTTGTTCCGCTCAATGACCTAATGGACGAAAATGGGATCACTATCACTACATTCCGCCATAATTTGAAATTCAGAACGGTGAGGTTCCATACCAATCTTTTTCGCTTCACAATTTCCGTCCCGGACCTCGAAATTCCCGCTGGTGAAAAACCGATCAAGTTGAGCTGGTCAAAAACCGGAATTCTATACTCTGAAGTTTGAATTGCGATAGAAGACATGAAGAGAGGCACAGCACCAGGTCCTACTAATATTACAGATTTCTGTCGAGAAAGGCGTAGATTACACGTACTTTTCGTAGTCCATGCGATATTTTACCTTCAAAAGAAGAACGTCCCAGGCCAATGGAGGGCATTGTGCATTGTCACCTTGCCTAAGAAACGTGACCGAAAGGATCTCCACAATTGTCGTCCAATATGCTGAGTGTAATCTGCAAGCTGTTCCTGACAACAAGGACCTTGTATGAGGTGCAACTTGCAGAGCAAGCGGAATTCCGATACCAAAGTCGTCCAATGGATCAAATCTAAACCGCGTCATGTGTTATAACGGATCTATTGGAAATATCGCCTAACCTTCGTCCTAACCTTTGTCGAGCGACTACCAAACAGTGTTTCAACGCGTCGAAACGAATGCAATTCTACAAGCGCTCGTTGACCAGTGAGTTGATCAACTCTACGTATGAACTCCAGCTGAGTGATATCGTAAATGCAGTACGAAAAGTACAGCTATTCCATCATTCCCTTACCACTCCCATGGTAAAACGGTTTTTTCAACAAAACGACACTATCTCGGCAAACACAACAACCATCGAAGTGAATGTCGAAGTCGCTACATCGATAGTGAGTCACAAATGAGCTTATCATATCAAAAGAAGAACAGATAACAAATACACGAAAAGAAAGCTAGGGCAGATTCTAAGGGGATGCAAGCGTCTCTCGAACTACTACCTACCACCGGCACGATGGGTTGGTATGTCCTCAGCCTCTGTCAACCATTTTCATCCACAGACGAAAACGAACGAAAATGATTTCAGAGTTTCGGAATGTGCGTCAAAGAGTTCATCATATTTGATGCAGACCACCACCATGGACGACGATTGCAAACGAAGAAAACGGATGTCAAATGTGCTGGTACCGACATTCCTCGTTAAGACAGGACATGCAGGTTCCCATGATCGCAATGAATGACCTAAACACAGAGTGGTATTGATCGAGCGTGAAAGCATCGGTTACCGGATCTCACGCAGGCGGTGCTCACCGAAAAGAATTCATGGCTGGCACAATATTCACGAATCGAATAAAACACACATAGATTGGTCATCAACGAGTTGCCCATACCCTATCTGAACGTGTTTGAAGCTCAACATTTCAAGCGGTGGGAGGAAGAAAAGAGGTTTGTGAATCTTGTTCGGGAGCTGAAAAGAAACGGAATTAAAGGTGTTAAAAAAACATCCGCAAAACTGTACCCGCGATTTAAACCGTATAGTTCTTGCTGCTTCAAAATATTCCTCAGTAAACAGTATTAACGGATAAAGGATAAAGCTCTCGGCATTCATCAATACTTGAGGAATGCGCCATGCACTCGACTTCCTTAAGCACTGTTTGGAGATGATTGAATGCATATCTAGCCTTTACAATAACTTGCGGTGGCCTACCGATGTATCGAGCCAGTGCTACCCTCCCAGAGAAGTCCGGCACCAATTCGCCAACACCGGAGGGATGGAGGGTTTGGTTGGCCATGGGCGCCGGAATCGATTCCACGTATGCGCTGCATGGCGCCTCCGACCACTGCGCCACACGCACCCTGACTGAGTATTACTGAAGTGATATTGAGGAGCGATCCACATTATTCAAAGCTTATTGAAAAAGCAACTTTGGAAGTCAATCGGTACGTAGAACGAAGTAAATGCGTTAGTAGACGACTCGTCAACCACATGCGACTATAATCAGCTGTTCTAAACTTCCTCATTGGAAGTCACGAAAAAGCGGCTCTGAAGAAGGCGATACTGCCGAAACGTCAGCTAGCGTTGTATTGCTATTATTTTCATTCACAATATGATCGGATACACTGGAGGACCTAAGAATACATGAAAAGTCAAGCGGACTTGAGCGCTACAGTAAGTCAAAGCCAGCTTTCCTTATGGAAATCCGAAAGCCCTGAAACGGGGTGGAACACTCACTGAGCGACAGTAGATGAAAATCGAAACGACGGTACCCATTCATTATCGGTGTACCGTCGAAATATGCGACTGCCAAAGTGAGAACAAAATGTCATGGGATGTTAATGTGCTCATAAAGGGTAATCGTTCGATCATTCAACATTAACCAATCTCTGAGGGATGGGTCATACATTCGGTTCAATTGAGCTTCGCAGAGATTGAACGAATATTTAGCCTACATACACACTTGGTCGACCAATGTATCGTCAGAGCCAGTAATAATATGCCCTCGCAGACTAGTCTGATACCGATCAGTCGATACAGGAGGAATGGAAAGCTTGATAACTCTGCGATTCCACCCATGTGTACTGCACAGAACCTTTAACCACTGCGCTACACGCGTCAAGCATATCTATGTGACCAATTTCTATCACAAAAAATGCACTTCCATATGCTAGAGGTGCATCATCTAAGATAAATTGCTTTTCGATGAAAACCTTACAGTGAATTCTAGGCTTTGTATGCTCCAGTTCGTTACCGACAAATCTCACCGTCAGTATTCGCGAACACAGCTCTCCTTATCGGAATCGCTCTTGGTGTATGCGATTTGACTCTTGAATTCAAGTTGACAACATTTGTTGACGTTCCTAACTGTGGTGCTTTGGGATGTTTTATCAGTCTCAGTTTTCGTGCATACTGGGCAACCTCTAACATGGTACGCCATCAAGTGTCTTTTATCCTTGTTATTCTCTAATCAAATTATATTTCTGCTTAAATTCCAGGCAATGAGCGTCGTTGTCGTTCTACTGACAGTTGTGGTAATGGCGAAGTTGCAGTATATTCGAGTATATTCCAAAACACTACGAAGATCCCAGAAAAATGGAAGGGATACGCTCGCAAAAGTGTGTTATCCATAGACGAGCAACATCCTCGACGATAAAGCGTGCTTTTCGAAGTTCATTTCTACCTCCTATTTTGCAAACGTCTAAAAATAGCGGAAAGAATGCTCCAATGCAAAAAGACATTTGAGCTATTATTGGCTTACTTTGTCATAAATTTATTAAAGACGAGGTTTTCATAGCTGTGTCCTACACTAAAATGTATACTAAGGTCGGCAGATCGTCACGAAATGTTCATAGAATCACAGGCTCTCGTGGGTGAAAATTCGCAGTCTTAGGTGGAGCATAAGAACACCAACGTTGTTCCTAAATATACCACGCTAAGATTTTGTAAGCTTTTCGTCAAAAATCTTCGACGTTACCATTTGCCACACCATGCGAGCTTGTTGGAGTGGCAATTACAAATCCTAATTGTTCAAGTACCGCATATGGAAGCTTCTTTAATGATAGTGGATATGGATTATAACAAATGGGTGTGCACGGGTTTGACTGTTTTTTATTATGAGTTGGATATGTTTGTTTTGGCATATTTGGTTTTGTTACTTGTTTTTTTTATGAGGTTTGTGAGTTATTAAATTCACCAAAAGTTAAATTCAAAATATTAATACCTCTAAAAAATGAGATAATTAATATATCTCTAGAGCAGTTCCTGGATGAATAAATGGATTCATAGATGAAAATTAGCTTTGGTGATGATGTCTTCAACGTTGATCAATCGTTGAGAGATTCGCCATGCATTCGACTTCACTACGCATTGTTAGGGATGATTGAATGCATTTCTGGCCTATGTAGTGATGTGCGATGGCATGCAAATGTGTGAAGTCAGTATTATTATTCTTGCAAAAACGCTTGGTAACAATTTGTCGACCTCGAGACACGGAGAGTCCAGGGCGCGGGATCGAACCAACCACCATATGTGTATTGCACCTCTAACCACCATGCTATAAGCCACTCCAGATTCATAGATAGACGACTTTTAAATCACCTTTTCACGTTCAGGCTAATTACTCAGCTTTATCATTTCTTCTGTGCTCATTGCTCTTCCTCACTGTTCCAAGTGTAGTAGTTGGAAGCACAGAACTGTTTGGAAAGCCGACTTTTCAATTCGCAGTTCCATTGAACTTAGTTGGACTTCTTGCTGCAGGTCAGCCATTTAAAGGTTTTCGAATGGAAAAAACATTTTTGAAATAATGCTTCGGCGAAAAACATTTAGGCTGCTCGAACAGCATCGTATTGATGATTTTGAATACGGACTTGAGAGCCTCCATGAGACGTCTCATCTGCAAAACCACTGCTACAATGCATTCAAATGCGATCATTATCTCTTAGTCAATACCGATCCGTTTTTCCTGTAGTAAGTCCTACACTCGTTCTACTGTGTGTGGTTCGTCTGTTTCACATCGAATGACTGTTATTGTTCTTCAGAGTATTGAACCGGATCCATGGACAAGGTAGTCGGCGAAAATGAGACTATAGAAGAAACTGAATTCAGATGATATGTATCTCAGTAAAATGAGAATAAACATGAGGAATACTGATCAGACGTCACAGTCTGAAGAATTTCAATATTTGAGTTCCTAAGGTTTCAACTTCCTTTCCAAATTCTAAGGAACTAGTGGTAGAAGATTTTGTGCCATGGGCGGTAACCATGGATTACCAGGCTTTCTGTGAACTCGGTGTATACCAAATGAAGGAAAAGAGAAGACTGTAAAGCAGTGCACTGATTTGGTTAAATCTACAACGACGAGCACCGAAGTATTACGACTAAACCGGTATAAACTGGCTCCACACTTGACTATTTGGAACGGGTAATGCATTACAAGCCATAAGGTACTGATACTTGCTTCTGAACCAAGAAGTCATGGCTAAAAAATCTTTTTCCGAAGTATAATCCGTCTATTTTTCTATAAAAATGGTCGGCGCCGTTTGCAAGAGCAGAGTTGAAGAATTGAGGGAAGCTGTGAATGCCGATCATATTGTTCTTCATTAGTACCCTCCTCGAAGCCGTGGACCATATTTAAAGAAAACTCCTATCAATCTTATGCGTTTTTCTTGTTGTATCCTGACTGATACATTTTTCTTTCATCACAATTATTCTATTCACTGAAAAATGAGGTGTAGTCCTCCGCTATGTGTGGCGCTCAATGTTTAGTGTGCTGTTCGGTCTTCAAAAAGCAAAAGAACTCAAACAACTGAACAAGGCGAACTGTTGGGCACATTGTGAATAAAAACATACATTTGTATTCAAACAACTGTAAATACATAACACATTACTGAACATCCCGTAAATAGTTTACAGCCTTTGGGATGTTCTTGGATGTCGAGCCGCGATAAACAATGAGGATCCACGTCCCCATCTGAGTTTACCATACCAAGAAAGAGCTCGATATTTCCGCCCTGGAATCCAGCTAACAATAGACGAAAATCGCTGTCATCCTAGCAACAATTCAGTCATTAGTTAGCACTTGATGAGCACCTGTGAAAACCCTAGCACTGGTTTTGACACGCCAGTGTGAAAAATCTCAACCAGAAGACTATATGTTAGATGGGAATTGTATTAGGGATTACTATAATCATCGTGATCCGTGATAGCAGATCCTTCAAGTCAGTAACTAAATATGAGACCTGAGGGTAAGGTACCCTTTATTCAGTCAATTAAACAAAAAGGGCTGTGCTTTATTCAATGTCTTGGTTAGGTGCTCATTGAAATCTCTGTTCATTCCATACAACGTCTAAAATACTTTCCAAGAATATTTTAAAAACTGACTCCCTTTCAACATCAATATAACTAATCAACATATATTCCTTCAATGATAAGCCAACACGAGGTTTACAAAAAAAAAGTATTTGGCTAACGCATCGGCGTCTTCACCTTCTTCTGAACCGAACTGATCCGAGTAGATTGTCTACAATTGTTCCGTCCTTCGATCTTCGTGATCGCATCGCGCCGAATCCAGTAGAGCAGCGCCTTAATGAGCTAACCTCACTCGGTAGTGCTCTTCCATACAATATGATGGTGGATACTGATTCCCGGTTGAAAATCGCTTGTTATTCTCCGGACGATCCATCCTGTAACGCTCGGTACCATTATCAGTTAGCACAGAGCGTAGCAATATTTCAAAAACCAACTTTCCTTTAACCTTGGCATGATCAATCAATATTTGTTCTTTCACTGGTAAGCTAATATGATTAAAAGTCGTTGATTAAAAAAATCTCACAAAATTTTAGGCTTCTGGATGCCACGGGCTGTCGAAGGCAGCTGCGGACTCGACTTGGTTATTGTAAAAAGGGGTTGGTGTCTTTTTTCTTCAACTAGTGAACGGTGCAGCCGTTGAATTTTTTGATGCATTTCGTCGATTTGGTAGACGTACACCCTGCCATAATCGCCTCACCCAGAGTCACAAAGTTGTGATGAATCAGTGGTAGACTTAAAAATGGTAGGCCAGACCTTCTCTTGGTGGTGTCACTTTGGCTTCGGATAGTGCTGAAAAAATCCGCCGCTGTCCAAACACTGAGTAGAACATATTTCGAAACTGACTTTCCTTGAACTTCGGTATCACTAATCAATATGTATTCCCTCTTTGATGAGCTTACACGAGGTTGATAATGATGTTTATTTTCTGCTAACGTTTCGACGTCTTCGTATTCCTCAGAGCCGATGATCCGAGTCGATGGTCCACGCTTGTTATTCATCCCGACGTGGCACTTCGTATCGTAACGCACAACCAAGTTCATTGCTCGAAAATGTCTTCCAGACTGTGAGGAAATTCGGCGTTTATATCCATACACCCAGGTTTTAAGTATATCTGCGTAACTCGAAAGACCGACTTTCTATAAACCTGAGCTCTGAGGAAGGCGAAGTCGCCGAAACGTTAGCCATCGATCAATAACATCAAAAACAACGACAACGACAACGACAACGACAACGACAACGAAGATCTGTACCAACCTCGCGTCAGCTTAAGAAGATCAGTTTATAAGTTCACGTAAATAAATATATATCTGCGTAATTATCGACGGCGGGTTTTCGCAATGGTGACCCAAGGAGGCATAACTTACGAAACATCGCTTTTCCGAAACTACTTCAAGTATTCATAAAAGAATAATCGATGCTCCTTCTTTCGTTGATAAGCTAACACGAAGCTTTCACCAAAGATTTAACCGGCTAACGTTTCGACGTCTTCATCTTCTTCAGAGCCGATGATCCGAGTCGGTAAAACACAGTCGTTCGTCCTTTCTATGTGGTGTGTTCGTTGTCGCATCGAGTCGAATCTTCCTCAGTGGAGCACCGCTCGAATGAAGGAACCTCATTCGGCAGTGTCCTTTAATACAGGACGGTTCATGATGATACTGATCGCTTACGTTCTGTGCTAGCTGCTAATGACACCGACTGCTGTAGGACGGATTGTTCGAAGGAAAACAGACGATTGCCAACAGACAACCAGAATTAACAACCATCTTGTATAAAAAGCCCTGTCCAGTGAGTTCACCTAATTCGAGCGGTGTTCCACCGGACTCGAGTCAATGTGATCACGAAGACCCGCATTGAAAGAAAGAACCGTGGAGGATCGACTCCGATCAATCCAACTCTGAAGAAGGCGAAGGCGCCGAAACGTTAGCCGAATAAAGTCTCTTATCAACCTCGTTTCAGCTTATCAACGAAAGGATATTTTTCGAGAATATTCTCCATAATCTGCTTCCGATCCATCGATCATTGCATGTTCACAATCACACCAATTGACTGTGTCAGAATAGAGAACGACTTGCCAGATGAACACAGCTTCGTCCTTTGTATCGCTGACCATTCTAAGCATTTCGTCTACTTTAACGTTATTCATCATCAAACGTTATCCAAAGAAAGATAAAAATAAAGTAGAAAGTAGGAGAAAAGATGAAAGTACAGGATGTCAGCAGGAATGACTATATGACCCGCGCGTGGGAGTGAGAATGGTGGGTGTTCGCCCTAAACCAGGGAACAGACCAGCGACCAGGGAATTAACCGTGCTACCAATAAGACCTATGCTCATTCGTACTCTTCGCTTCTCTTTAGTTATGCGACTATCTGTCTTCCACAATCCTACCGTACTTCCAATTACAACTTTCCGCAAAATTGTCAGTCTCCCAGTAGCAATTATGGATACTCTCTTATCAATGCATCTAATGATAAGGTCACGCCCTAAATAAACTCGTTCAGCTATCGATTCATTTGTCACATGACTCTTTAGTTCATCAGAATTCGATGCTGGAATGACAAATCTCAAATGATTTGTTGCTTTCACATAGATTTCTATGATCACGTTCCCATTTGTCACTCCCAGTCGCTTTGAAAGAAAAAATCCAGCTGTTCTTTCATGTACTTCCTTCCACAGATTCTCAAACTTAACAGGACTGTTGCGGAATGACAACTGCAAACGATCGAGCCGTTCTAAACCATATTCTGAATCCACTGATGCCAACGGACACGAGCTTAGGAACAACCATTGAGGCCGACGGTAACCTGTTTAAAACTTTATACGCCGCACTAAATAATCCTAGTATTTCTATGTAGAAAAGGACAGACATAGACAACTAGTGGGACATTCGGAAACCTGTCCTTCTCGTTCACTATACTTTCGCTACTGTTATGAATACTACCTCGGAGATGTGTCCTTTTTCTTTAGTACATAATTACCTTTTTACTAGTTCTACAGTCGTTACTAAGTACTTTGGAGATGTCCTTAACATTCGACACCATTAGGCATTGCCGAGGTGATTGAATGCGCATTTCACCTATACAAGGACTTGCTGTAGTGCACTGTACCTAACAAGTGTTTGTATACTTCTGAAAATGTTCGGTACTAAGGCACGAAGCCATCCAGAATGGAAGACTTGGTTAGCTCGGGTACGGGGTCGAACCAACCACTACGCATGCATTATGCAATCTCTAACTGCTGCATCTCACCCGTCGTTATAGCCTTCGATATATTTTGGAGCTATATTATAGAGTGTCTAGTTTTCCCCTTCCTGAACTGAATAAACGAAACAGGCGAAACGAAGGACCCACATGGTGTGGTGGTGAACGCGTTACTCCCCGGAAAGGACAGTAGCGCCTTCGTTCCCCACCACAGACACCTGCGGTCCGGAGTTTTGTGAATATCTCAGCATTATCTTAGTTGTATTTCACATCATACTCTGCCGTTAAAAATTATGGTAGGCAGTAAATTTTTTATTTTAAGGTGTCTAAAAAAGATTAAGACTGTGAATTCAATTAATGCATTTCACGCTATCTTATCTATCTTAAGTATCTTTGTATCTTTATCTTAAGTATCTTGTATCTTAAGTAATTATACGTTGTTATCTCACACGAAAGTGAACTTTAGCACAATATTCAAGATGGTTTGTTGGGCAAAAATTAGTATTAAATGCACTAGTAGCACATTCCTCCGTTGTCAGTCCTTTAACCTAAAGTAGACCTCATTTACTGATTCAATCTGAAACCAAAAGGAGTACGATAGTAAACGCATGGAGCTCTGCGATCAAGAAGCATAGATGTTTGGGACCGCTTTGCAGTATAACTTACCATAAGGCTTAATATAATAATTCTCAAGCCAACCAGAAAAATATTTGAGTGGCTCCACATTTGTATTGTACAATTTAAACGCTGTAGACTTCGTTTACAGCTCCGATAACAGCTGATGGCATTGAAGATTCACGAAGATTGGAAATAGAAGGAATACAACTTGCTGAAAATGGAGAACACGACCAAGCGATTGAGAAATTCAATGAGGCAATCCAACGATGTTCAGTGAATCCCTCAGCCTTCAACAATAGAGCACAGGCACTCCGCCTAGTAGGAAAAGTCGATGGTATGCATCATCTCAGTTATTGTTGTTCGTTGAGTGTCCCGCACTAGACTTTTCTCATCCATTGTATTCCAAAAAAGCGTTGTTTTTCTTGTTGACTTTTCTAATGCTGAGACTTTCCATCCATAAATGAGTTCAATTATAGACGCTCTAAAAGACTTAGATCAAGCGATTACACTCAGTAACGGTCACGGAAAAAGTGCATGCCAGGCACTCGTACAGCGTGCTCTGATACATCGGCTCCGTGGAGAAAACGAATCCTCCAGGGTAGGAAATTTCGAAAGCATCTGTCAATAGCTACAGTACAAAAGTTATTTCAGAATGACTTCCAAAAAGCTGCGGAACTAGGATCGTCATTCGCAAAGATGCAGGTGGTCGCTCTCAATCCTTATGCAGCGATGTGCAACAAAATGCTTAGTGAGGTCTTTACGAATCTCAAGGAAGGGAAAAATGAGTACTAGGATTGCGAAGAAAAAAAGAGTACGAACAAAAATGGAATCAACTTTATCTGATTATACAACTCTCACAGGATTTCAAAACAAATTTACACGAACTGCGTGGGAATTTTGATATTGTTGTGTTTTAAATAAAGCCTTTAAATCCTACAATAAAGCTAATCGATAAACGATCTAACCCGTAAACGATATACAAACTCCATCAACGATAATACTACTCAGATTGAGATAACCTGTTTGGCCGTTTCAAATAACGTAGAACGGTAATAATAGCTTCTGGTGTAACACCAGGAATTCTAAAGAAAAGATAAGAATAAGGAAGTTCACGAAAAGCACGTACGAAAAGAACCAATCGTTACCAAAATCTCTAAAACATCATACCTGGAAGCAGCACCAAGACTGAGTGGACGAGCACGGTCCAATTTCTCCTGGCATTCCATACTCAAGCCAGGTAGGCTACTGTAATCTATATCATCAGGGATTGAAGTGCTCGATTCTCGATCTATTTCTTGCATCTGTAAAAGTATGACTCACTAAAATCAGTATTATATCACCTAAACTTTAGCTAACCATTAAGTGGGGACCTGAAAACTACATTTGTCGTTGTTCTGCATTAAAGCCACTTGGGTTTCACTCGCTCAACAACACGATTAGCTACTAGAATGCTGAGATATTCGCAAAATTCCGGACCGCAGGTGTCTGCGGTGGGGAACGAACGCGCTATTGTCCTTTCCGGGGAGTGACGCATTCACCACCACACCATGCAGGTCCTTCGTTTCGCCTGTCTCTCAGCTAGTTCCATCGAGCATTTGTCATCAGCAATCACCCGTCAACGGCATTGATCCGGGGAGCCCAAATCGGCATTTAACCCAATTAAGCTGAGGCTATAGTTATAGTCACAATCTTAACCTTTTTATTTACTACCTATTCTTTTCAACGGCACCTGCATGGTGTGGTGGTGAACACGCTACTCTCCGGAAAGGACAATAGCGCGTTCGTTCCCCACCGGAGTTTTGCAAATATATCAGAATTATAGTAGTTATATTTCGCAAAATACCCTGCCGTTAAAAAGAATAGGCAGTAAATAAAAAGGTTAAGGCTGTGAACACGATTAGGGTTAAATATTTTGATATGACGCTCTTTTTTACCATTTTCTTTGAGAAAGGACAGTCATGGACAACTACCCCGGACCACTCGTGGCGTACACTTTTAGCTGGCCTCTCAGATACAAATTTCGAGAGATTTTCGTGTAGAAAAATTAGCAACAACAATATTAATAATAATGATAATAATGATAGTAATAATAATAATAATAATAATAATAATGATACATGTATGAAACGAAAACTGACCTTTACTTTCATCCTCTTGTGCGCTGCTTCATAGCTACCTTCGCATCTTAGACGCTCTTCCAGATTCTTAAAGTTATTCGGGATACAATGTCCCAGTCGATCGAGAAAAGCAGTTTTCATCTCACCCAAAGAAACGTTGTGACGGTGAACCATTTCATAGGCAGACAACACTACATTAGATAGTCGTTTTAAAAAAAGTCTCCAAAAAAGGCGCGTAACGATCTTTAAGCTTACCTTTAGCCGGATTCTTCCATTGGTATGAAGGGAAGACCTGTGACCACTTTGCCAGACTCAACCGGATATCTTTCAGTTCAGAAGTTAAAGTGTCAATGGCTCGTTTATTAGCAAGGAATCGAGACCATCGAGCAGTCCCCACTGAACCCCACTTGCGTCCAAGTTCTGTAAGCCTCATATCGGCGTTATCTGGTCTAAAAGTGATGTAGTTAGCAACAACAACAATCTTTTACCCGAACTACTATACAGATTATAGAAATCAAATGACTGAATGGAAAATCTGGAGCCACATACCTGAGATGAAGTCTATGTTCTGCACGCGATGTGAACATCCGGTATGGCTCATTCGTACCCAAACTTGTTAAATCGTCAATAAGTACACCAATATACCCTAATCATAAACAACCCATCTAAATTTTAGTCTCAAATCCAAAAATAATTAAAATACATAGCAAAAATCAAATGGAAGAAACATGACGAACCTTGACTACGACGAATAACCATGCCCTCCTCTTCTCGAGTACGCGCAGCTGCATTAATACCCGCAACTACGCCTATAAATGTTCATTCACAAGAGTTTGGGTCAAATTCTGGTCTCATAGAAAATTAATACGTTGACAAAATGCAAACGTAGACCGTCAGAAAACTAAAGCCCTAGAGCTGAAATGTGCACATGTGTAAATGTTTAATAGAAGCAGCGATACATCAACTAGGAAGTATAAAACCACCAGAGAATTCTCCAGTGCGATGCACGGTTTCATTAAGAAGGACACAGTCACTGGTCACCAGTCCCCAAGGCAACACCGTTTTCACGTAACCGATGCTCTCCACAGAAAGACTCATAAGTGAATGATAAATGAAAGACAAAATAGCAAGTCTGTAAATTAACTTGTGATGAGAAATCCACGTTCAATGTTGGACTGGATTTATAACACCAAAACAAGTGCTGTGAGAAAACGAGAACGTTAAAATTCGGAATCTTATCATTCTTATTTAGTTAGCCATCGTTTCTGAAACACCTTGAAACCGCTTATGTGACATCACACGAAAACATAACTTTTTACTTGACTTACATTTCTTACATAACTCTAGTATGTCATGAAACTTTGAGACAAAGTCCTTATCACAGTTTACTAACCTTACCTTGGGCAGCAGCCTCTTCATATCCCGTAGTTCCATTAATTTGACCAGCAAGGAATAATCCCTTCACTAATTTCGTTTCCAGAGTTGGGAATAGTTGTTTGGGATCCACAAAATCGTAATGCACACCGTAACCATACTGCGCGATTTGTACCTGAAGTTAAAAGAGACGTCCAAATGCTAGATAAAGCACTAACCAAGCATCAAAAGAATCATCCACAATAGTGTTGAGATATGTGCAAAACTTGAACTACAGGGTAAAAACTGTTCGACAGAAAGGCGAAGCAAGGGTCTATGTAGTTCAGTGGGTAACATTTTAGCCCCGGAAATGGTAAACCGGGTTCCAATCTGAACTGAAGTCCAAGTTCTGCAAACATCTCAGCATCCATAACGGTGATGAGATATGTGCAAAACACCGCACCGCAGGGGTTTGCGGCGGGGATCGAATGCGGTATTACTCTTTCCCGAGGACAAACGCTTCATCACCACATCATGCGAGACTTAAGGGCGAAACGACTGCCTCACATGATGTGGTGATGAAGCGTTTGTCCTCGTGAAAGGGTAATAGCGTGTCCGATCTCCACCGCAGACACCTGCGATCCGGAGTTTTGCAAACATCTCAGCACTATTGTGGGTAGATTTCACACAGTACCCTGCCGTAAGAAAAATAGGGAGTAAATAAAAAAGTGACTATATCTCAGCATCATTGTGGTTGTGCTTCACACAATACTCCTTCCATGAAAAAAAAATAATAGGCAGTAAACAAAAGGTTGAGAATACAGAAAATTGTCATTTAAATCAGTACAGCCTATTGATAAATTCAGAACAGAATTGGTTTTCGATAACAAGAGCACAAACAATCTTTTTAAAACGTTATTTTAATTATAAACCTCTATCGAACAATCACCGAAACTCTACGGAAACGATAAGTAGACTAAAATCTCGAAAAATTTCACCGTGAGCGGGACGGCCAAAAATAGTGATGAAACGCAGATGGACATAATCATGCCCGCCCTATTCAACGAAACCCCAAGCGTTCAATGTTTGAAATACTGATTTCAAGTAAGTGGTAGTGTGGGCTGCAAAAAAACCCTCGAAATTTATGGCCATGGATGATTTGGAGCAATCTGCTCTTTCCAATGGTCTTTATACCAACTGATAAGACTTACTAAGAATCGTGACTGGTTAAAGTTGAGAGGGGCACGAGTAGCGCAGTGGTTGGAGGCACCACTGCTACACACACGTGGAATCGATCTTCGCGCCCATGGCCCACAAAGCCCTCCATCCCTCCGGAGTCGGCAAACTGCTACCAGACTTGTCTGGGAGGATAGCAACACTGGCTCGATATATCGGTAGGTCACCGCGAGTCATTGTAAAGGCCAAATATGCATTCAACCACCTCCAACGACATTTAATGAAGTCGAATGCATGGCGCATCTCTCAGAGATTGATCAACACCGAGAGCTTCTTTTTAAAGTTGAGAGGGGCAATTACTCTTGGTAATGGATATTTTTGAATACGGCACGTTGACTTCAGTGTGACGAAACTGACTTACTTGGATGGCCCTTTTTGACTAGTGCGGAACCCAACATAATCTCCATTTTTCGGAGATTTTCTGGTTTCGCCATTGTGGTTCCCTGGAATCCCGAGATCAGCCTGGCCAAAGTCTGCCACAGGTCACCACTACAGGCAGTCGCAACCCTTGTGGATTAGAGGGAGATTTACCACTATGCGACTTTGGTACTAGGACGGTGGTACATCCTGGTATTGGTTTGCTCTTAGCTAAGCTTCCTAATGGAAACGCCAGACTCCTCAGTCTGGAAGGACCTGCCGGGAAATGAATCTCTCCGCTGTACATCGCAGCCCGACACCGAGGAAGACCTCCCAGCCACGGCGAGGTGGTTAACCGTTGGGAGAAGAGTGATGAAAGAACACAAAATTACGAAAGTTGCAAAAGTGGTGAATAACAAACCTTTTCAAGTCCCTTAATAGATCTCATTATTTTAAGTTGGATGTCCGGTGAAAAAGTCATGGACATTCCTTGAGGATAAATCAGACCTGATTCTAGCCCCTCATGCTCCAGAAACACCTGTAACATAAGGGAAAATAACTAGCGTAAGGAAAAAATCTACAAAGAGTTAAGTGCAAACAAACTGGACATGACGCTAGCAATGGAAAGGTGATCAAAACTGAGGAATAATTAACCGTACAAATCTAAGCAGAACTCAAGAAAAACTATAAAGAATCACGATGAACAAATACATCACCCATTAGTCCGCAAAACTAACACTGAGTATTAATTATAACTCAAATGAAAATGTCGGGATGATTCGAGCAAGAATAATGGGTCCAGTTAAAATAACACAATTATTATCATAATGCGAAAGACCGACTTTCTATAAACCTCGGCATAGATAGTTGATATATTTATTTATATGGTCTTATAAACTCTTTTTTTTTTGGTTTTTGGTTGGTTCCTAAACCTTATCCTAACTCAGCTGCTAAAATTCATTCCAACCCATTTACCTAACACCAAAATATTCCTAGACCACCTACGGCGCGCACCCGTTACGTCACTTTATACCGCGTCCAATGACTCCGCAATGCAAGCCATTCTCGAGTTGGTCGTAGAGCATGAAAAAAATGCACGGCTTGTCGATTGCGCAACTAATGACTCTCTTAAAACAGTGTCTTAGTTGTTCAATCTTTAGGTGGTCTGGAAAATATTTTGCGCAAATTAGAGGATTGGCCATGGGGCAGAGTTTAGCACCAAGCCTTGCCATCGCTTTCATGTCTCAGGTGGAAGCTCCAGTTCTCGATCACCGACCCTTACTCTACTGTCGATACATAGACGACTGCTTCATTGTCTGTTCCACACAAGAACAGGTGGATGAGTGCTTTGAATTGTTAAACCCACAGTCACAGTATACAAAATTCACACGAGAAAAACCAACCGAGAACTGGTTTCCATTCTTAAACATCCAAATAAAGCTCTCAGTAAGTGGCTATATAAAATGGCATCGTAAGCCAAGTAGTAAAAACATTCTAGTTCACTACCTCTCGTCTCATCCTTCACACATGAAAAAAGCACTTATCAAAAACATGTACCGTACGGCTAAAAATCTGTGTACAGAAGAGGAAAGGAAGGAATCGCAAAACCTGGCGCGAAAAATTGCCGTTTCCAATGGCTACGAAGTAGAAGCCACTCGGGTTAGAGAAGAACGTTGGGTAATTCCCCAAAATAACATTCCCGAAGTAAGTAAGCTCTCCTTTAAGCTACGCTTCATATCAAATGAAGTAAGTCACGCCATGAAAAAGTGGATAAGAAAAAGCGACCTTGAAAATTATGTAACGATTATTGACATCCAACCCAATACCCTACACCTTCAGTTCGCAACCGTCTCTATGATCGTTTGTGCAGCTCAGAAAACTGTACGATCTGCCCTAACGGGAGAAACGGGGATTGCATGAGTTTAGGTATAATATACTTGATCTCAGGTAACGCATGCGGCGAGGAATATATTGGGGAAACAGGTAGACCACTTTGTGTCCGCATAAAAGAACATCTGATGGAATAGCTAAAATCCGTTCAAACACCCCTCTAGGTACGCATAGGGCACAAAAACAACGGCGATGATTTTGAAGTGAATGTGCGGATCCTAGCGCAGGAATCAAAAACATCAACGCGCAAAACTCTTGAGGCGTTTTGGATAAATTTCAAAAATCCAAAAATGAACTGGAAAGACGAATGGTTCACTATCACGCGTGATCTGGCTCCCTAATTCAAAATGATATTTTGACCCCGGGGTGTGTCTTGCTCGCGACCACTACGTGTAGGCGGGTCCCACACGTAACATCACGGTGAGTGGCCTTTTTGTTCTATATGGCGTCTATTTGAAAGTTTGATCTTCATTAACACTTTAACCATTTTTCCACCGAATAATAAAAATATTCTAGTATAAAATATGTTAAGGCTCTGAGAAAGGCGAAGTCGCCAAAACGTCAGCCATCGACCATCAACATCAAAAACAACGACAACGAAAACCTGTACCAACTCGCGTCAGCTTAAGAAGATCAGTTTATAAGATCATATAAATAAATATTATTATAATCATTTATTATAACCACAATGATGCTGAGATAATTGCAAAACTCCGGATCGCAGGTGTCTGCGCTGGGGAACGAACAAGCTACTACCTTTTCCAATGGATATGCACTCATCACCACATCATGCAGATCCCTCGTTTCGTCTCTGCCTAAGCTAGTTTTCTATCTACCAATGCCACCAGCAATCATGCGTCAACGCGATTGATCTGGGAAGCCCAAATCTACGATGAACCTAGTTAAGTTGAGGCTGCATAGCTAGCTGAGAGGAAGTCGAAATGAAGGACTCGCATGGCGTGCTGGTGAACGGGTTAACCTTTAGAATGGGTACTAGGGTACTCGGTCCCCACCGCAGACACCAGCGGTCCGGAGTTTTGCAAATATCTCCGCATCATTGTAATTATATCACATATAATACTTGCCATGAAAAAAAAGAGCAGGCAGTAAATAAAAAAGTGACGAGATTGTGATTTATACCACAGGAGGCACGAATTTAACTGGGTTCAATGCAGATCTGTGCTCCCCAAATCAATCTCGTTTACGGGGATGAGTTGCTAATAGCTCTTACAGGTCGATAACAAGGCTGAGAGAAAGGAGAAACTACCTAGGAGAAACTACTAGAGAAGACTCGCATGGTGTGGTGGTGAACGCGTTAGCCTTCAGAATGGGTACTAGCGTGTTCGTTCCCCACCGCAGAGAACACTTGTTCGAAGTTGTGCAAATATCTCAGGATCATCATGGTTATATATCACATTACAATTTGAACGATAGCTTTTCATGGAGTATCGAGAACGACCAAACGGAGCTCTATTTCGTCAGTAAGGTAACCCACTCTGTGATGAAGATTTGGGAAACGAACGACTTTTGATTCCAAAGATGGACAATAACGAGGACCATTCACTTCTTCCTGGATATATTGCTTGTCAGCTAAATTCTCTTCCACAATTTCACGCACACGATCATTTGTATATCCAAGATATGTAGGGAGCTGGAAGAATAAGCAATTCAAATAAACAATACTCATGAGAGAGCTAAGTATAAACAAAACTGCAATGCACGTAGACAAATATCTCTATCTCCCAAAGTAGCATAAAAGTTAAAAATAAATATTATTTGAAATTCAGTAATGGGATGGTAGCATACATCGAAAATCGATTTGAAACATTTCAAAATTATGAAATATGCGGTTTGTCGAAGCGTCACCATCAGAAAACAAAGACCTGTTGACTTGGAGGGAGCCACATTTCATCTGTCATAAAGGAGAAAGGTATTGGAACAGCATCAGGAGGCATGAGTTGAAATTTGGAAAGATCTATGGTATCCTAAACTGCTACTGATTATGCTGGTGAAAAATAGAATACAATAAGTGCGAACAAAATGATAAAAAATACTGGAACAACTTTGACAAGCCGTGGAGGCGTCCCAGTACGAAGACGTCCAATACGGAAACCCAACTGACGAAAAGATTTCGATAAGCTAGTTGCGCTCTGAATAAAAGAACTTCACTTAGTACTAAAGAAAACATACAACAAAGAAGTCCATTAACATACCTTCTCTCCAATCCTACCAGAACACCATCTATCTTTTCCCACAAATATTTCGCCTCCCAAAAAAGTTCCTGTTGCTATCACTACAGCTTTTGATCTAAACACACCATAAGTTAACTAAAAAAAGATAAACAAAACTTGGTATAAACCAACCAACGTGCCTGAACTTCCGCCCATCCTCTAACGTAACACCATTTATTCTCAAACTGCTTTCGATTTCTGTACTGATGGCTTGTACGTCGCCTTCTATCACTTCCAGATTATCAGTGGTGAAGAGTTCCTGAAATTTTAGATATCCCAAAGTGTATTAAAAGTGTCATAAAATTTAAGTGAAAAGTGGAAAAATGTGGACTTCTTGAGGTATCTCCACGGATACTATCTTTAAATCTTAGCCCTTATGCCATATATTAACATGCTGTGAACTATTTCTTATTTGCTAACATTAACCTAAAGTATTAACCTGTTACCTAAAATTAATAGTTGCTTACAGCTTTAAAAGGAGCAAATTGTCAACGAAAATCATTTGACCGCAAAAAAGACTGCAATTGAAAGAAAAAGGAAAGAAAAAACTGCGCCATCAAGCAATCTCCTAATAGTCGAGAACAGACGTCCACCTTCTGCATATGAGATTTATAAAGAAGTCGGTCGATCTGTGCTCGAAGACCAAGAACTGCAGGACCTTGGCCTCTGTTCAGAGCTGAATACGGTGGAAATCGTATCATCACAAAACATAACATGGTTGAATTAGGCCTTAAATTTCAAAACGTTACAGAGCACAACTGAGAAATAGGTCGACGATATCCCGCAGCTCCTTTTTTACGAGTTAAAACTACAACGATGAACTGTGATGTAAAGATGAAACGTACCTTGGTAGGTTATTGCAGATAGATCGCAAATTCGCCCACATACACCGTCCAATGCGTCGAGTTCCCTAATGAGATGACCTAAATTTCAACCATGGTAGAAAAGCAGAGACAAAACTATGCAGTGGAATGGAAGAAGCCACTATTAGGTTTTTAGAAATATCGAAACAAGAGTGAAAAAGCAAAATCGATTGGGCACTTTGGTGATTCATCCACACGAGTAGTGCCGGTTCCTCACTTTCCTATTTTTTTCGCCCTAGCTTGATCATCGACCATTATCGTGGTTTGTCTGGAGTATTGTGAAGTCCATGAGGACTACTCTGTGATACATTAATCGTTCTAGTGGTTAGTCGTCCTCAAAGAACAGTTGCACGCTCTTGGAAACCACTCCACAGTTCTTATCAACTAGTTTTTCTTATTGTGTAATTACCATAAATGTTTCGATATTGGTAGTGCATTCTGAACTACGAAGATGGAAAAAGATCGGAGTGGGGTATTTCGAATAGACACTTTGTGCATGAATGACATTCCAGAAACTCTGTTGATGATTCGCAGAACCCTCGAAGCGTTTGAAGTATCACCACCACTTCTCCACTAATAACGGAACGATCAGATGTTCGCTGAATCAAAAACACGATCGTGGAGTCTCAGATGGGTTTGTTAATCGGTGACCTCTTTCAGATGGCTGAATATGGCCCACTTTGCACTTTTACGCACTTAATCTTTATGTTGTTCTCCTTCACTGGACACACATTGAACGCGTGTGATGTAATCTCTGCAATAAGGGAACCATTCACTTCGATTTATTCACCATCGCATCATGGGTTTTCATTAACTGGCTTTTCTTCTGATTTATATGCATTCATGCGTACGAACGACTTGTTAACTCTCTCACGAGCGTGCGTCTTGATTCCAATGCGCAACCCAAGTGCGCTCCAATGACACGCCGTCCGATGAATCCCACACGCGAAAATGGTCGCGGTCGATGAAGCGATGAATTTTTTGTATCGTACGAGTATTTAGTGCAAAGGATTGACCAAAACTGCTTCTCTTTCAATATTTCGCGTAGATACATTATTTTTTGATCACATAACACTTTTATGACCTTTTGTAGTCAGTTCATGGCACGTGGAACACAGGTTTTATATTGAGACTGGTCCATAGCAAGGTGTTCTCAACTGTACTTGCAAAAAGCCGTTTTGAAAGGTGGAATGGTTTCGGTGGGTGCGAAAAACATGAAAGATACGCAGAAATACACTTCAATAACCACCCAAAACCATGCAGAAAGCTAATGTCATGGTTAGAAAACTGGAGGCATCACAAAGAAGAGTTTCCAAGAACATGAGACCATACATAAAAGAACGTAGCGGATAAGAAGAAGTAGTGACATGGCAAAAGTGTGAGGGAAACGAACAAGAGAACGATGATCTCAAGAAACCAGTGTGTCGTGCCTTTTACGCGACTTATGGCCTGCATGTCTTTATTTCAATGCACATCTCATTTGCGCTCCAATGAGGGTAAAAACGTTAGGGATGCGAATAGCAGAACGACAATCCCAAGAAACTAGTGTGTTGTGCCTCTCGCACGACTTATAGACTGCATGTCTTCATTCCAATGCGTATCTCAGTTGCGCTCCAGTGAAACGCTGAAATATGCGGAACACTAGTTATAAACCACTACGATTTGTTTGCCAACAATACCTCTGACAATTATAGAACAGTTCCTCTTAAGTTACTAAAACCACACTTATCTTTACACCACTTTAATTTTACCTTGGCTGCCAGTTGCAGGACAGATACCTACCTGATCGCTTTACACGCTTCCGAAAGGGTTCTCACCCGAGAAAAGGGGGTATTCGTTGTGCGAGCCACTTCGCTCCTTGCCACCCACGGACGGAAATGGCTGCTACCATGTGGTTGAACCCATTGGAAAAATAAATGAGGTAATGGTGCATTACAGAAATAAGGACGAAACAACAGTGTTGCCGAAAAAATTGTATACTGGAACGCACCTTTCCCAATGCCTCCAAAACTCGGATTGCAGCTCATTTCTCCGATGGTGTTTCGACTGTGAGTGAGTAGAGCCGTTCGTGCCCCACATCTAGCAGCGGCCGCGGCGGCCTCACAACCTGCATGACCTCCACCTGAACATAGCGCAGTACTTCTCCCGTTTCAGAAAACTATAGCTACTACTACTACTACCAGCAGAAGAAGAAATAGAAATAATGAGTAGGCGAGTATCAAAAGCGCAGTCCTACCGATAACAATCACATCGATTTGCTCTAGAGAGCTCAGAAGACGGTGGCAATAGTGAGGCCTATGCCGAGCTACTAGAACTCCGCTGCAAATCATTGGAGCTTCACGAATGGATTTCCAGTCGCAAAGCTCTCATTTCTGCGTTCTATCGTGCCCTCATAGTTGCAACGGAGCGCGAAAACTCACAGTAGCCAAGGATAACTTAACTGGTGTTTGGCTTCTTCCTCTAACTTTCTGGACATCGAATGATTGAAATGTATTCAAACATTAGAAAATGGATTCTGGAATTTGTCGTCAGATAATGAAAAACGTTTGACTCCGACTGTCTGCGTCATTCTTCGCTTGGCCAACAAATATCGTTCCAAATTCGCTCGTCATTGAGGGTGTTCTGTGTGTCCAATTCTACTAGTTGCTTAAAATTCATATAGGAACTAATATCTGAAGATATGAGACAATATGTAAGGCCTCAAACAGCTTGATAATCGACGCTTGAAGTGGGCGCTGCCATGTCCTGGCAGTAGGGCAAGAAGAGGACATGACCACGTCTCGGCGACGTGCTGTTGGAATCCATCATCTCTCAGGATTAATCGAGCACTCTGGCATCAGATACACTTTTATATGCTGCACGACTGTTTTTCGATAGTTGTCCTTGTTCTTACTAATCTTGGCTCGTATACTAGTTGCTCAGCGACCTTCCCATACATTCACCACAGAATGGGGAAAGGTATTATGAACACTGGATGGTTTCGCTACTCTGTCCAAAGTTCTTAAGCGTCAAGATACCTGTTATAGTACATTGCAGCAATGTGACAATTCTGGAGCGTGGGCAGAACTAAGCAAACTGCAGATGTGCGTTGCTCAGAGCCGAATGCTTAATGAGTAAGATAACCTAACAATTCTAGAACAAGCCTCTTCCACTCATGTAAAACGATTCGCCTAGTACATCATCCTTGAGCAGTCCGTAATTTTTTCATCCCTATTTTTATTCATTTTTTAATCTCGGTTTAAACATCGTGTCTGGATCAACAAGTAGGAGGACCGGTCAAAGAAGTTGGTGCTTAAAGCATACTTCACTCGGATCCATATCGTTGTCAAAACCTGAAAACGCCATTGAAAGGCTAGGACAGGACTCCAGGGAAGATCAAATTGCCCAACCAGTAATAGGCTAGCCACAGTGCCCCGCACACTGGGTGCTTCCATCCATAACATCAGGCTGTGAGGCAACCGGTGAAAGGCCACAAAATCTCGGGTTGCGCAGGACGTCGCTGCACTCGGTCTGACAAACACATGCACGGCAGGCCATGGAGATTGTTTCTAACTCTTCACGTATAATGCCGGAAAATTCCACGGACGTTGATCTTTACGCCCTTCTTAATGTCGCAGATCGCACCAAATTTCATGTGATCGGACTACAAGAAACAAAAACAGGGAAAATGACAAACCCTCCTCTAAATAACCCTTGCTATCCGCGGAGAAATGGTCCCGTCACGAAATGTCGGTAGCGTAGGACTTGTTGTCCACCTGTCCGTTGTCCATCTTGTCGAGTTGTACGAAATCCTCTCCTCTCGCATAACCGTCCTCCGACTTCAGTTAACGCGTCATAAGATCACTATCATCAGCTACTACTTATCGATCCATCGAGCTGATGAGTGCGAATTGGATGCGTTCTACAATCAGTTGAAGAAAGTTATCCGCAATAATAAAGTGTATTACTAACTTATTGTCGGAGATTTCAACGTCAGAATAGGAGAGGTCAAGGACAGCGAACACAGGAGCGGAAATTTTGGATTACGAGAAAGAAATGAGAATGGAAGCCGTCTTGCAGGACTCCTGTCTGCAGCATGCTCCTTCCAAGCGAACTCGTTTTTACAGAAGAAAAAGGGCCGCAACTGGACATGGGACTCTCTTAGCGGGATTGTGCATATCCTGACAAGTTGAAGACGGTGCCTACTTGACACTTCGGTGCTCCCGTCATTCCGTACTGGTTCCTATCACCGCCTTCTTCGTGAGAAGATTCGATTCAGTCGTGAACTAGAGAATGTACGTCATCCATGAAGAAGAGAAAATCGAACTGAATATGACGAGAACATTATGAACCAAATTCAATCAAAACGTGACTGGTAGATTAAGGAAGACCCAGCGAAGACAACGAGCTCCTCGTCGAATGACTTAAAATTTGTGCCAAATTTATCTCAGTTCCTCAAGAAAGAAGATCAGATCGCAACTCCATTATCACTAAGAAGTTACTCGAAAAGAGAAGAAAAATGAAGCTGGTTAGAAGCACGGTATTACAACACGCTCAGGAAATCTCTGCGACTATAATACTCCGCTAACGCCCTAACGGACTATCACTACGCTCTGTTGGGGCGGCTCGTTGATATAGGAATACCAAGTAGTTAAAACGATTCGGTCGGAATTAGCTGCTCGCCTTTGTGCGCGCCACGCGGGACTTCTTGTGATTAGCAGTCACAATGCCGAACACCTCAAACTTGGGTAATTAAACCGTTTATCATAATTATACAACAATCTTAACAATACAACTCTACAATTAATGTAACAATGATACTGGTTACGAGTAGGCGCAGCCTGATCACTGGTGTTCAGGTTGCTTATGAGTGAAGAGATTGGCATAACACTTTTACTACATGAGATGGATGTGACGCACGAATGCGGTGACTTGGGCAGCATTGCTGTGACATGAGCTAGCTAACCGTGGAGCCGTTTATATACCTTTGCGCTGGGCGGAGTCAGATTACAGTGGGCGGAGTTGGGCTACAGTAGGCAAAAAGTCTTGTTTTTGAGGTTCTAGCGAATTTCGATAGACAGCATGACAATAGGCACAACTCCAGGACCCGATAATATCAGCGCGAAATTTCTTAGGGCTGAAAGCCGCAATTTACATGTACTTATCGAAAACTATGTGACACCTACGTTCAAAAGGAGAACATTCCAGAGCAATGGAGGAAGCTGCGCAAGGTTATGCTGTTCAAGAAAGGTGACCGAAGTGGTCTTCGTAATATGGTCCGATATGCATGTTGACTGTACGATAAAAGTTGTTCACGAAGATTATTCTGTTGCGCATACCAATGAAGATGGATTGCAGGATTTCATCAGGAATTCTTTGCTCGGCGACCAAGGATTGGACCCGTCCTGCGGGAGAACTCTTTCCGACTTTTATCAGAACTGCAACAAAAAATAGAATAAAACGTGAAATTTTGCAGTTTTTCAGCATCGTAGTGGTTGAAACACAAAAATACAGCTTTTCTATCGAACTCTTATCATTTGTATAGCACAAGGGGTTCCACAGGACGACCACATCTTGCCAAAGCTATTCACAGTCGCATAGCAGTCGCTGACGAAGTCTGTACTGGGACGAGAAAGACATACACATTGATGAAAAATTCTTGTCAAATTATCCTTGTGCTAAAGACATCAACATCCTTTCCACGAGTGCTAACAACAGTGATCAACGTGCCCAACGAAGCGAGGGGAATGATTGAACTACGCGAAAATCAGAAGAAAACCCTGTTCAATAAAAACCAATGGTGCTAAGTCGAAACGACAAATCTGAATGGTCCACTGATTACATAGACCACTTCACGTACACCTTTGGCATTCAGTTAATATTGAAGAATTAGACAGAGGAAGGAAAGGAGCTTAGACCTATTCGCGCTTCTCAAGAAGCCACTGACTAACTAAAACACCCAAAAGTCCGCGCTCATCTTTTCGATTCGACAATCCTTCCAGCGCTCTGTTATGCAGAAGAGACGTACGGCGATAATTTAACCACGTCAAGAATACTCACAGAGCGCTTGAACTATGTCTTCCGAAATATGACTAAGACCACAATATCTATCCGGAAGGAATGCGGAGCAATGTTCTTCTAAATCTACCTCATCTTCGAGTCCAGGAGAGCACACGTTGATAGCGAAACATAGATGAGCCTTTCATATAAGGAGAAGAACAGTTGACAGATGGGCGAGAAGAATTCTAAAGTGTATTCCATGAGGATGCAGGCATCAACTGGCGCGACCACTTCAACATTAAACGGACGTGTTCGCAACTAAAGTCAAACAGCTGTTCTCGTAACAGCGGTTGTTTTATAGATCATGGGAGACTCGCACTGGCCACAATGCTCAAGTCAAAACACTACTGTGGACGACGATTGCGAGGCGAAGAAATGAATGGAAAGTGTGCTTAGATACGTACAACTCGTGAGGAAGACCCGTCAAGTGTACACGTGTCCGAAGCGCTGTAAAACAAATGCGAAATAGAAACGTGGTAGAACTTGATAGCTGCTCCCAGTGACAAACTGTCTTGAAGTAACTCTCACGTCCGACTCTCTATTAACCTCGGCATTGATTGAATAATTCTTTCCACTTCTGTTCAGCAAACACGAGGTGCTACTTTATTTTTTCATTTACGTACAAGCTGACGTTTCGGCGGATTTCGCCTTCCTCAGAGCCTGGAAAGGTCAAGTTGACAGCAACCTATTCGGCCAAACACCTCCATAACCAAACAGGAAAACGCTAAACAGAGATTTCAATCACATTTAACACAGCTCTGCACACTCACCGCTTTCTATGAGTCTTCCATTGAGTATGTCGTGTGAAGACCAACCGCACAGAGTTCACACGGAATCGTATTGTACCTATCATGTCAAAATAACAGGCTTATATACTGCCCAATATCACGCGTGATAATGAGGCATTCCTCCCTGCGGTTCATGTTCGGATTCTTGGAATTAATCCAGAATGCCTCTAGAGTTTTGCGCGCTCGTGTTCTCGATTCCT